GAGCGGTAGCTCGATGTCCTGCGAGTGACGCGAGCGAGGAAGGGAATTGTACGAAGGGATCCAGGGGAGTTCAGATGAGGAAGTGAGGTGAGAGTTGGAATACAGGGGTAGTGATGGGGATCTCTCAGCTGGAGATTTTGGACCTATAGAAGTTAAAACTGAGCAGTAGCAGCTGGGCCACCTGGGCCTGGCACTTTTTGGACTAGCAGTCTGACCGAACTCAAATCCCATGGTCCGTCACATGGCCAAACTCGCCGAACTCCCGCTGGAGGTCAGTCCTGGGTCCAACGCACAAAGGGTTGGAAGATCTTGTTCCTTTACCGGTTGTGGGCTATTTCAATCTTCGACAAAACAGAAATGAAGATTAGGGGGTGATCCTTTTGGCTAACTGTTGGTTCTAACTTGGGTTCTTCTTGCATGAGACTTGCATGTACTCAGTACTCCCCAGAGTTCAAAAAAAATAAACACAACAAATGCTTCGGGTCTGGAGACCCTACATGAATCCTAGAGAGTTCCATCACTCCAATCTGTCTGTTTGCGGCTTTTGAATCGGTTCCCGTGCAAGGCCTTCCACGTCAAAAATGAATCCAATGTCAACGCATGGGAAAAAGCGTGGCAATTTCTAAGACTTGTGGATTGGAATGTTGCGATGTTCAACGGAACCGGTTTGCAGAACTCTGTGCCATGCGCTCTGATTGTTCAGAACCGATGTTCGCACTGGAGGATCGAATGCTACCCACCTCTGGATCGAATGCATGGCACAAAAAAACACATTTGCGGAGAGCGCCATCTACCCTACCCAGGGTCACATTCAGGCCACGGATTGAGCCCCGCCCGTGAAGGCCGCTGGCAGCCGCGGGACTTCATCACTCCGTTGGCCACGCCCGAGACAAAGAGCCTTAAAAGAAAGAAAGAAAGAAAGAAAGAAAGATTGAATGCGTGAGCGACGGAACGAGCGAACAAATGAATGAACATCCCTGTGTTTCTACCCCATGTGAGTTGGGATCCCTCACTGGTGATTGATCATGCATGATAGAAGATGGAACCCTCCAGAAAAAACTGATCCTTTGCCCTTCGGAGGCCTACATTCCCTTTGGAGTGGTTGGAAAGAATCTGGGACCTCCCTGGAGATCTGCTTTGCCCGACCTGCGCCCCCCACACGTGCGCCTCCACACCTGCGGTCCGCATCCGTCCACCGGAACATCCGCCGTCCCGGTCCCACATGCCACGATGCCTCTTGCCATGGGCTGAAGCAGTAGCTCGCCGGGCCACCTGCTCCAACGAGCTGCTGGATCCCCACGCAGAAGCATCAAAGGAAGGAAATGTAGACTGCTGATGAATCAAACCCCCTAGGCCTGTAGATGTAAAGTCATTCTAGGGGGATTGTCAACCGTCTGCATTAGAGGTACAACATGAGGGATTGGACCCCACGTAATGTCCTGCCCAAAAACAAAAGATTCGCGGCCAGGTGTAGGTATCACTGCCCCCAAAAAGGAGCCACTGGAGTATCCACATGAAAAGCCTGGTTCCTTCTGCCCATCCCCGCCTCCATGAAGTCTCGACACCAGCCTGGAGAGGATGGAGGGAATGAGGAGAAGAGCCCAGAACCTGCATAAAATAGGACAAAACTACTATAATATGTTTGTTTTAATAGGACAGGGTTAATATAATATATGTTTATTCTATGTGTTTACTTACTGTATATATTTATCTATATTTTATATACAGTGTAATACAAAAAAACAATCGGTTTGACGACCTATACTGTAGTCGTTCCTCAAGCAGCCAGGGCATGTTCATCTACCATAATTTTGGGCCCTCACCACCACAATGCCCATTCCCCCAGGTCACTAGCTCAAGTTAAAACCTAGCCAAAATCAAACATCACTACACCTCCTTGTCCGAATGCATCACGACCCCGTTTTCCGCCCCATAAGGCCTGACTTGGAGGAAAATGGCTCCTCAACTCATCCACGCATCCATGTGCCAACGGTTGCGGCTTTGCGCCCGACCGGTTGTGTGGCTGTGGCTGCACTGTGGCTGAAGCAGTCGGTTTAGGTCTCTGGCTGGAAGCTGGGGCTGGAGCATCCCTACGGGATGAAAATGGCTTGGGTCTCAAAGGATTGAGGGGACCTCCCACAGTGGACTATCTCATGACCCACATGGTACAGGAGTTCTTGGCTGGAAATAATGATATTGCCCAGAAAGTGGGCTGAGCTAGTGGGGGTGAAGAGCGAGAACAAGTCCTTGACCATGATCGAACAGATCCTTTCATTTGCAAAGCTTTCCGAAACGGTATGACCACTTCAAACCACTTCAGGCTGTCAACTCAAAGAAAACTCAAAATAAAAACACTGTTTTGTTCAGAGGAGTGTAGGTTCCGCATGTCTGGTTTGTTAGACAATGGTCCCTGCTCGATGCTTGTCCAAACTGCCAGTGTTGGCTTTACTGCACGGGTGAGCTCAAGAGTTTTGTTCCTCCTGCAAGATCCACAACAATAACATGTCACTTCATTGCAAACGTCATGTTTTTGCAGCAGGTGTCATTCCTGTTGCAAGTGTACTCCATTTAGCTGCATCACTCCAGTATGTTTACTTGCTTGCTTGTTTTGAGCCAGCTTGGGCCAGCTAAGGCAGGGGTCTGGAGTGCTGTTGATGGCATCAACTACGCCACAAGCTCCAAAGAATATTGTACCTTGTGTGAGTGAGGTACATTGGTCTTTTGTGGGTACATCTACTCTTCATTGGATGCAGGTTTAAAAGGAATTCACCCGGTTTGGTCGGATTCCCATGTGGCTATCCCGTTTTGGAGACCCGTGGACGCGTCCCAGGACGAGTGGCCCAAACTCCTGCGCCGGAGCAAGAAACGACCAAAAAACAAAAACAATAGTGTGCAATTCCTTGGCCCGAACATGTCTCACCCACGTTCTACGAGGAAGTCTGACTCTTGGAACTTCCGCAGGGTGAAGTGGTTCTCTCGCCACGCCAGTCTCCTGCTTCAATTCAGCACTGGCTTTGTGGGATCACCGAACCCCGCCGTTGCTCTCCGGCACGGTGCCGCCGCCGCCTCGGGCTCCATGTAGTCCAGCCCATCCAGCACCAGCAGGGTCACCCTCAGCAAGGACACCTCGAAGAGGCGGTGGGAAATGATCCGGACCCGAGAAGTGAGAACAAGCAAGTGCCACGCTAGTAGTAACAGGTGCCATACTACTAGTAACAAGAAGCTACTAGGAACCAGTGCATCGCTTCTAGTAACAAGTGCCTTACTAGTAGTAACAAGCGTCTAAGAACAGTCTGCAACCTTTTGTGCCTCTGAGCCGATCCACTGGAAAGCGGCGAAGATGGCTGGGTGACAGGGTTAAGCAGCTTAAGCACAACTAGCAGACTTCGCATCACTCACCCAAAAGATCCCAAAGAACCCAAGGAACGCCCAGGCCCAGACCCACGGGGGGTTCCTTCGAGTCGCCACGGAGTCGGATCCACGCCATACACCGAGGAGGCCTGGTACTTGGTGGCCAGATCGTGGATGCGCTTGGGCGTGCCGACCACCAGATGGGCGCCTGAACAGCATGAAGTGGGGCGTGCGCAGGTATGGTGGCGCGTTGGCAACGGCATGGAACTGTGCATGAAATCAGGCAAATCATGGAAAACAACCAAACATATCGATTCAGATTTGAGCAAGGTATTGGTAAAAAGAATCAGAGTATGGCTAGCATAAAACGGAGAACTTTACTTTGGAAGAGCTGCAACTGTTCCATATATTGGTAAACCCGTTGAAGAGTCCTGGTCTCCATGGCCATCTGCTACTATGAATCCTTCACAAGTGGACACGTCTGCTACTATGCATCTTTTGTCTCCACATCCTGCTGGTACTTCGGTCACTCCCTTAAGGAGCCCTCCCAGCGAAAAAACGTCGGAGCTGTGACACGTTCGGACACAACCGCCATAACATTTGATTTCCATGTGGCTGTGGATCTGCAGTGCACCTGAATAGCTCAAATCACTTCAATCATTGGATCATGTTGGAACCAAAATCCTCTTGCAAGGGAGCTTCACTGCTTCACTGATCCAACCCTTCGTTTCTCCCACTGCCACGTGGTTGGTCTGCTTCACGCCATGTCAATCCAACACAGCCTGTGAAACGCTTCGAGGGGAGCCGCGAGGCGAGTGAATCTGGGCCCACGAGGTCCATCGTGTTCATCCCACGTGGCTCACGACGTTGGAGTCCAAGACGAAGCCCTCCACCGGATCCAAATTCGGCAGAGTGACCTCCTGAACCTGAAGCCCGCCACGCAAAGCAAGTGGTTGCTGGGACCCAAAGCTTGGGGCGGCCCCAAAAGGGAAAGAGAAGGTGAAGACCGAGTAGGTTTCCTCCATGGTATCTTTTGGCAGGGTGACCTTAAGAAATCGCAAAAATGGTATGTCTTAGTTAAAATCCGGTTGCAGCTGGGATGTGTGCCAGGGTCAGGTCTGAGACGGTCTGAGGGTGTACAATGTACCCCACAAAGGTAGCGACCCAACAAATGCATCCTCAATGATCAGCTTGGTGTTCACCCGCTGAAGAGCCTTTTTCAATTGAAATGAGATGTTCACATCTTCTAACCGAAATGCCTATTTGAAGGGGGCTGGTAGTTCGGACACAAATAAATAAATGTATCCTGATTTGCCACCACCTTGATGGTCATTGGCCCACCCCCACCCATCCACCACCTCTCGACCCACCTTGCGGTTCGTGATGTGGGACAAACCCTCCAGTTCCTCCTGCGCGGTCTTGAAGCGCGGAGCCGAGCTGGAGGTCACCAGTTCCGGTCGCACGAACTCCTTGATCTGGTTGGTCTGGTCTTCCAAAAAGCTGCAGAAGTCGGAGAAACGGATGTTGTAGCGCACCAGGTCGAACATCATCGAAAGCCTCTTCCAGTGACAGGCCGCAGAACCAGCAAAGAAGACGAGCGGCTCAAGCAAACCCCGTCTTTCAACACTGGCAAAAACAAAAACAAAAGACTAAAGATCTCTCAAAACACTCCCAGGAAGCATGTCAATGCCCTTGGCTGGGCCCTTCAATTTCAAAGCACCATCGACAAATTCCTCCACTGTAAGACCACCGCTGCCATCCACATCAAGCAAGGTGAAGACAATCCGTGCGTCCGTGATGTCGATATCCAAGCCGGAGAGGAAGGCTTGGACCCAGGGATTCTCCAGCTGAATACAAAACTCTTCAAACGTAATGAACCCGTTCCTTTCTGGATCATCAAAGAATTCAAAAGCTGTTTGCAAAGCTGAAAGTGGTCTCCTTCCTTCATTCTTTGAATGCCTACGTGGAACACAAAAGTAACAAGTTATTGTATGGTTGTGATCCCACGATCTCTACTTTCCTTGCTGTATGGTTGTGATCCCTGCTGGTTCTACATGGCTTCGCTCCTCTCAACAGCTAAATGACACATTTCATTGTTAAGTGCAAACTACGAGGTCCACGCACCATAGATGAAGTTCTGAAAAAGGAACAAAATGTTCTGTCGACGCAAATCATGGGTACCCGTCCATATCGGCATCTGTGAAGATCCGTTTCATCTCACCGCAAAGTCGGGTTTGCTCCTCGGTGAAGCTTTCGACCACCTCATCTTCCGTGCGAGTGCAGACTGCAGAGTCCACAAAAATGCCTGGCGACATGGCAGAGGATGTCAGTTGGGGAGACTCAGACGGTCACACCCAACACTTACTAGGAACTTGGACGCTACTACGGGCTCCTGGCCTTACTACTAAGAACAAGAAGCTCCTAGGAGCAGAAGAGTAGCAAATGCGACTCGCACAACAAGATGGTATGTTGCGTTAGCCTGGTGGTCCACACGCAGTGAGAGGGTGCAGCGTCTCAAGAATCCACACATGTCGTGATTGAAGGGAGGGTCACGATATGTCACGATACACCACAATGACTTTTTGAGTGGGTAAAGATCACGACTGGCAGGACTCAGGAATGGCCAAGCTCTCCAAACTTTTGGCAATCCAGGACTGCCTATCGAGCGGCAGGTATCCAAAATATTGGACCGTATACGAGATAGTATGATGTGGACTCCTAAAACCTACACCAATCAGATATATTCTACATGTACAAGCGGCGTACTTAAGTTAACCCACGTCGCGTGAAGTCAACTCACTGCATGGGCACAAGGTTTCAGCGAGAAGTCAACCCATTCGTGTGAAGTCGACTCATTTTGGTTAAAGCACAATGGGCACACTTGAAAAATGAGCACGGCAGGAAAGTGGTTTGTTCAAGGAAAAGTGTGCGCACACTGTGTTATGGCTGGCATTTGGCCTTGCTTTCTAGATGTTTCAAGCCCAAATCTCAATGGCACAGCACCATTCACACCAATGCACAACTTACAGAGAGGGTCGTATGCGCGCACACACACACACACAAGTGACTATAGGCCTCTGCGCGAGCCCCGCGGGACCCCGCGCGAGGTTCGCGCGAGCACGACTCCTATTACAGTCGTCCTACAGCTTCCTACGGTCAGGAGCAGCAGCAGCCAACCAGAAGCAGCAGCAGCAGTGGAGCGTGGGCCCAAGGAGCTCTGCATCAAAACTGTCACAAATCCTTGACCCTTCACATGTGTTATAGATCAATACAATCTATGCTTAGACATCCCTATGGAGTGCAGTTCTGCAAGGGCACACGGTTTCGAGTCGACTTTACACAAGCTGAGTCGACTTAACGCTAGTACCTAGTATGTTCAGCTCATGGATGCTACAGAAATGTCCGGAGCACGACCCGATTGCTTCAGCTCTTCGACCGTCCCATCCTGTCACCACGTTCAAGAGGCCCACCAAGCAGAAGAAGATGTAGAAGAGGAAGACCACGAAGTAGATTTCACCTGGCCCATCCCGGATCATCATTCCATAGAACATCCAGTCGTTCCCCCCCACTGATCGCAGAGAACAAACTCACCAAGGTCAAGTAGACGCCGCCAAAGAATTCAAAGACCAGATCCGAATTCTCCACCTGATCAGGCTCTCCGGTCGCTGAAATCGCAATCTCCCCCTCAAAAGCTGCAAACAAGTGAACCCTAAAACGAAAGATCGGCCTGTGGTGCCTTTTTGGGCTGTGTTTTTCTCTTGGCTCTTCAGGTTGCCACCTTCGTAATGACTAAAGCAAGCAAGCAAGAATCCTACAGGTGTCAGCTCTTTCGCTTTGGGGAATCTTCATCGTTGCCGACCTGTCTAGTGTTGTTCGGATCCATGAATTGGAAGTAGTAGGCCACGCCATTGCAAAAAATAATGCTGAACATGAACATGGTCAGCAACAACATGACAAAGGCCCAGAAGAGGGCCGTCATCGAGGTGATAATTGAGAAGAGCATGGTTCGCAGACTCTTCAGGCTCCGCACGGTTCGCACCAGTCGCACCACACGGACCAGGCGAAACACCCGGAAGACACGGAGAAAGGACAAGTTGAGCATGCTGTCCTGGACCGGGTGTGAAGTTGAATGGGGCTCATAATGTACCTCAGCGTATAAGGTCACTTAGGATGCTATTAGGTGGAGGCCATTGCAAGTCGGTTGGAGGTCATCGCTACTAGCAACAAGAAGCTATAGTACAAGAAGTTTCCTTGGGAATCGTTTCACTGGGAATCGTTTCACCTGTAGTAACAAGAAGCTACTAGTAGGTCTTTGAAGCTACTAGTAACAAGAAGCTACTATCAGGAAGATCCTGCTCGTCTCGCTGTTTCCGTTTCCCTTCGTGTCCAGCAAAATCTCCAGGATCGAACTGGCCACCAGGATCACGTCGAACAGGTTCCATTGCCGCGACGGGCCCAGGAAAAAGTCCCAGCCCTGTCCAAGCGCCTCACACTTCACAGAGGGTGCCAGGCGTGGCGCGGACCGTGTGGTTTTGTTGGGGTTCACGCGAACACGTGCGGACCAAGCATGAGCTGGACCAACACAGTCCAAGAAATTGGCTGGAGCTTTGACGAAACTTATCGGGGCTTGGTCAGTGCAACAAGGACAAACACGAATCAACTTCCCTCGGAGCAGTCGTGAGAGTTGGTCGTCGTGGGCTTTTGTGTTTGCGTTTCTACAAACAGAGAAGTCGTTGTGCGCTTCTGAGCGCACCCTTACCACCTGAGGCTTCCGAAAGTACACTCAGAGCTCGGAAGAGAAACACGTGTCCAGATCCAAAGCTTTCACCGAACACCTCAAACATGGAAGTGAAAAGATTTCTTGGTTCTTAGTCATGGTCTTCCCAAAAAGCGCAATGCCACTTACGTACATTGTGCGGATTTTGTTCGTCTGCTTAGCAAGCACAGGAGCAAAGCTGGTACAGGAAGAATGACTTGGAAAAAAGGTAAGTGCGGAGTCTCTGAAGACTGCTTCTGTCTTTCTTGGACCCCACTTTCAAGGACGCCTCCTACAACTTCTTCCGACTGCGTTCAGAAGGCCTTCAGGCGAAGGCGAAGGCCTCCGACGGCAGAACCCTCGGGCCTTCACCACCATCTCCAAGGCGAACCACACGGTGAAGACATACTCCGGAGTACGATCCAGCTGGCCGGGCACTTGCCCCGAAACGTTCCTCGTGTGGCGGGGCGAAGTAAGATCGCTCGAAGAAAACACAGTGGTTTTGGGCGGCGCTGCCCGCATCGCGGCCGACAGGGGAAAGAGCAGCACCCCAGGTTAGGGAGTGAGACATTGGGGTGGAGAGGTACCAGTAGGTGCTGGCTGTAAAACAAGCTTTTCTGGTGACAAGCAAAGGGGGATTGAAGTTGAAAGGGTGGGGACAAAGCTGGCTGTCTCAACAGTAAATGCGTTTACTTACTGATTCCAAGTCATGACTTGCAAGCTCAACAGGCCAAAAGTTTAGTTCTGGGTAACATTGCCCAGCCGCTATCCAAACCTGATTAAGGTGATAATATAATGGCTGACACCGCGAACCACATGTTTTTGCTTCATGGGATTGGGGGGAAGACCATCGATTCCCTGAGCGACTTCCAACCAAAGAGAAAATCATGCTCAAACGTTCCAGGAGATTCAAATAGCTGTTCTTCACGGACATGTCTGCAGCAATTCCCAGGTACACCGTGTTTGCGACGATGGCAAGGGTGCACAAAAATTTGAAAAACGAGCTTTTGCAGAACGTTGTCATCCAGTGATCTTCTGGCTTACCTCCAAACGAAGCGACAAATGGTCCGTTGGTGAAAAACGTACCAGTGCGAGTTCAAGCAATAATCAAATCGCGGATAGTTGAGGTTTGGGTAGAAGAAGAAGAAGAAGAGAAAAGAAAAGAAAAACCAACGGAACCAAAGACCGACTCAGGCCACCTCCGAACCAATTCTGATTGTATAGGACGCTCACCACTTCTCGGCAACTCTTCAAAGGGGCGTTCTCAGCAGTGTTGCGAGGGTCCGCTCTCTTCCTTGGCTGATATGGCACCTAGAGGACCTAGAGCTGACAATCTAGGAATGGATCCAATTAGAACACAAAGCTGGGAGTATGCTTCAAGAAGTAGCGTTTGCAAGTTCGAGGGAAGTCCTACTAGAAACTTGAACCTAAAATGAGTCAGGCTCTAATCTAAAACAAAAATACAATACTTTTATCGTAGGACTTTCCTACCTGGGAAACTTGTCAAAAAGGAAATATGTTGAACGAACTCCAGGCTTCAATTGTCCCAATCGAGCCGCGCCCAACATGCCACCGGAACTCCCAATGCTGGTGGCCCAGCGATTGAGACTCGAAGACGGGATTCCAAGCAAATGTGTATGTGCCCTGAAGCTGGACTTTGTCTCGCCCTTGAAGGCTTCCTTCGCAAGGATGGAGATGGAGGGACTTTTCGGCCACCCGTCTATCACCCACTCCCCACCTATCAGATACCTCCACCCCTCCCAAGACCTTTAAACTGAGTGCTGTTCAAAACCTATCCAGATTTTGTTCTAGTTCTAATCGGGTTGTGCTTTTCGCAACTCCCGTTCGCAACGCTTTCGCCACTTGCGTTTTAGCTTGCACGCGCTTTGTTTTGCGCAAAGCCACTTTCGCAAGCTTTCGTGGACAGAACTGATTTACAGGAACCACAACGTGTTTGCAAAGGCATCTAAAAGAAGAGCACGCAGCTGTTTTCCAGCTATAAGGGATGTGGGGACATATCGTTAAACTTTGTTGGAATTCCAAGGTCGTTGAGCGGTTATCTACATGTGTGCGTCTCAAACACTGTTCGTGGATTGAAAGCATCATGAAAAGCGGGTACAGCATGGCTGTAACCCACATGCATGTTGACCACGACCGGTCTCTGGTAGACAAAAACAAGCCAAACAAGCAAACATGGCCATGGCCAAGCAAGCTCGGCTCCACCGGGTGGATCCTCTTTCGAAGCGCGTTTGGCACACGAGCCTGGCTCCTCATTATCTGTCGTGCTTTGGCTCTGGAAAGGCCAAGAGCAACGCGACACATCACCAGCAAGTGACAGGTTGTATGGTTGAGTCTTGATGGCTAAGAGCTGAACAAAGAAAAAAATCAGCTCGCTAGCGAGCTCCAAGGTTACCCCCGAGCTCCACTCAGAGCTCGGCACCCAACACCCAGCTATATGAACACATGAAAATTGCGAATCCAAGCGTCCAGAACGCTGGGCTCCAAAGATTGTGAGACCCCTTGATCCGGCAGCACCGGCACCTCCTCGCTTGGTACAACGCCCAGCAATTCTGCCGATGTGTTGTCGGGGGCTCTCAATCTTCCTCGGCTTGTTACAACGCCTTCAAGGCTTTATAGAGGAAAGGGATTGAGGGTGTCCTAACCTACCACCTCAGATTGAGGATCCATTCTATCAGTGCAGGATGTTGTCCATCAACATGGAAAAATGATGAAAAATGAAGGGGGGTGCCAGGCTGCCATGGTTCACTATGGATGCTCGATGGTACAGCCATTGGCATCAACTTAGTGCCTCACCAAACAGTGCACATCCCTCCAACATCTAATTACTTGTGACATGAATATCCACCAGTTGCACTGACTCCAGGACCTTGCAACAAGAAGTCTTTTGGAGCCTCCATCAACTTTTGACTGCTGCACAGTGTCGGGCTCGCTCCAGCTCTTTCCGCAAAGCCAAATTCTCCGTCTGAAGGCCTTCGCACAAGTGCGCCAGCTCGTCCAAGCATCTCCGGAGCTGAGGCGCCAACGCCATGGCGCGCAGCACGGAGATGGCGTCGAATCTCTGTGGATGAATGGGATCTTGGTGACCCACCACAGATCAAGGCTGTTTGGATCAGATAGAATCGAAGTTGTCGATCATCTTGCAGGATGGTCATGTTCTGTTACGGCCTTGAGGGACAATCTGTCTGTCTGGCAAATCTGCATGCTGGATGACATGGCTTGAGCTTGGCTTGCTCCAGCATTAAAAAAGCGCCAATCGCTTTGTTTGTTGACAGCGTCAACTCTGTTCTGTCAGAACCCTCTTTACCACTGCCTGCCATGCCATGTTTCAAAACCTCTACTATTGGGTCCATGTAGCCTCGTCTCAAACTACAGGAACCCTTCCAGAATAGAAGAAGCAACCAACAAGCTCAAAACCCCAAGCAACTTTCTTTCCCAGCACTCCCATTCCTGGGGCATCCGATCCTCGCTTCCAGACCCGGCCAGATTCTCGAATCGGCGCCTTCACCGGTCATCTCCCGTAGCTTCTCTGCACGAGACTCAGCACGAGGCTTCTCTGCGGAGAAGCAGGCAATCGGTGACCCAGCTAACATCCCAAGATCCACTCTACCGCAAAAAATATCCAGCCTCCTTCCTCCATTTTTGCAACAGGAGTGAACTTTTCAGGCACTCGAGGCATATCATGTTCCGGATGCTCATCTGATTGTGGAAACTGGTGCAGAAAGAAACTTCCCCTGCAATAATCAAAATGATATATAACAGGTGTTGAACAGCTCCGAAAGTTCCAGGACCTTTGCAGCACTGGAAGTGGGCTGAAGTTGAACCATCAACGCCACACGAATGGCTAGAGTCGCCCTTTAGGCCCCCCTCGTGCAAACACCAGGTGTTCAACCCTTCATGGCCATTGTGAAAAAATATGTGAAAAGGATCAGTCTTAGTTGACATGAACAGAGCAAGTTTTGCAAGGAAGACACCTGTTCATCAGGAGAGGTGTTCTCCAAAAAGCTTCCTGCACCACCTTGCAGCAAGGGCCCCACTGCACCCACAGGACCCCACCCTCATGCCGAGGTGCCCCCCCCACCCGACAGGTTTGCCGCCCTCTTGACACCTGACAGGGATGTCGGACGAAACAAGCTTGGGGAAACCCTCTAAGAAAATGGTTGGCCGTCACACTCCGGTCCTTCTAGCTTCAATGAGAGCTCTTCCTATTTTAGGCTTCAATAAATCATGAAGTGAAGGTGCTTCCATCTGAGTATGTTGCTTGGACTGATAATATGTCTCAAATGCACCTCACGTCAAGGTACAGGGCCACATATAACAGCGTATTTAGGGACCATATATATACTATCGGGGGTGCGAAGTCATTCGTCAAGTCTGAGACGAACTCATTCCCAGGTGTTCAGGGATTCTTAATGCACCAGGATTGGAAGACATGTGGTGATTCTGCGACAACAGACCCAGGCGAGTCTTCAACGAGCTGCATGCTTGGTGGAAGGCATGAACTTTCACAGCCCTATACTGCCTGACAAAGCCTGCCAAATTAGTATTCAAAGCACCTACTTTGATGTGTACCCTCCCAAGCTCACACAGCGAACTTGGAACATGATTCTGCTATATTCAGTTTGCATATATAATATATATATATATAGTGTCTTCTTTTTTACCGGGTGGGTGCGTGTTTTTCTTCGCTTTTGGGCATGGTTCACCGGGCCCATTCCCCAGTCCTGTGGTCTCTCCATCCGAGTACTGAAACAGCTTCTTCGCTGCGTCCGCAATGCTCGCTGAGGTGTCCTACTTCAGCTGTGGGGGTTGAAACAGGTCATCGGCGGAGTCTGTTCCGTCCCTGGGGGATCAAGAGGTACAAGAATCAGATGTTGTACCAAACAAATTGCTAGCATGCATCTCTGAACAAGCCATCTTTCCATCAGTCCATAATCGAGATCCTGCGTCAAGCCAAGAAACCACCTATGATTGTTCCCCTGGCGATTTCAGTCTTCGCGCTCCACTGGCAGGTCTGTTCGGAGCTTCCCAAAAAATCACCGCCGCGTCACGCACTGGGGCCGGGGTTTCCTGGGTGTCGGCCAAGACCAACGCTATAGGCCCGGGCTCCTGGGCATCGAGCACCGACCGGTGGACAGGGATGGCAGCCTGGACTGGTCCATGCAAGACCGATTTTTTGTTTTCGGTCTCCACCTGCGTAGATCTGTACGACATTCCCACCGGTGAGAGCAATTCACTTCTTCAAAAATACCAAGAGACCTTCTCCAAGCCTAGTGAAGCACTTTGTAAAACCTTCGGCATATGATACACATACACATACATATGATATATGTTCCATGCGATTTCCATAAATAACTTACTTCCCTACCTCAGACCCTTGCACTGCTCGGTTTCCCCTACCTCGGTTTCCTCCACGTCGGGCCAGTCACCTAGCCGTCCCTGCCCCAGTGCGAAAAACTCCTCCTCTGTCAAGGGGTCCTGGTCAGACACCTGACCGTGAGCGTCGTGAGCGTCGTGACCCTCACGAGCCGAGCCGATCGTTCGGGAAGCCGAGCGTGACACAAGCCAAGCAAGGAGAGGCGTGGCAATCAGGTGAAAAGGAGTGGCAATAAGAGGAAACGGCCCCATCTCGGCTTTTGTTCAACCAACCCCTGAAAATGAAAAGCTGAGATCTTTTCGAAGCACCCAGTCAAGAAGCTCTTGGTGGTCGCTCTTGCTGACTTGGATCACCGATCATGGAAACTAAACAAACCTATCCCATTGTTTCGACAGGGTTGCCACCTTGTGGCTCGTCATGGATCGCATCACTCGAGATCCAAAGGCACCTGCAGGGACGCCAGCATCAGGTACACAAAGGCCTGCAACAGGTGGTTGCAAATGGCTCCAACTCTAGGCGACTTGTGCTTTGAAGACTAAAAATCTCACGGATATAGGAACCGTGCTTCTTTATGTAGACTGGCATGGGCTCTAAGGGGCCACTGAATCAGCGCTGAGGAGCTGGCTCCTGTCTCAGGCTCCCTCTCGCACCGAGAGCTTCGCCAGACGAGTTGGTCATCGTCCGACATGCCACATGCTTTGCTTGGTTTTCAGCCCCCCCAAACTTGGTCTCAGTTTTTAAGGCCAGTGAACTTACTGATCAGACCTGAGTCTAATACAGTCTAACTGGTCTTCATCTCTCTAGGTTTGGTCGCCAACTGCTCCACGACTGGCTTCGGGGTCCGGCCTCCGCGCCCGACTTCGCTTCGGAGACCAGGATGGCATTCTCACCTGCATCGTGAAGGAAGGACTGGGAAAGCGTGAAGGAAGGCCCAAATGATGTTGATTTTCTGGGAAGGCCCACGTCCATGTGAACTTTTTGGGACTCTGTGCATAGCATTTTGGAGGAGGAGACGTTCCTATTCACTTTGTAGATGTGTTTATTAAATACTCGTCATCATGGACGAGACTTCACCGACTGTTCAAGGTTCAAGACCAGGAGAAATCCCGAAATGTAGCCTTCAATCCAGTCTCCCTAAAGATTAGGCGGTATTAGTCAGGGCAGCTGTAGCCATCTAGCCATATGGTCGCAATGACAGACTGTGACGATCGGTAGACACCTTCCATTCTGCGTTTGATGCCACGGCCACCACATGCAAACCAGCACAAGCAGCCGCACCTGCCAAAACGATCGGCAGGAGCTGGGCCTGGCCATCCAACAAGTGCGGAAGGCAGAGATTTGTTCGCTTTTTTGCACTGCGGAAGGCAAAGGAGTTCAGTATCAAGCATCAACAATGCCTTCCAGAAATGAGGTTGGCTTCACGACAGCCATTGCCACCCAAGCGTCCAAGCGTTGACTTAAACTAAAACATGTCAAACTGTTGAAGCTTCGCAGTTGCAGAACCCAGAATCCCTGTGCCCAACAACGGGTTGAAAGCCCCCGATCAAAGAACCTATCTCACTTGTTCCTTCTGCTCATGTTCCTTCCTGCCTGTATCGCTGACGCTGTGGCCGCCTCATCAAGCTGCTCCCAGCGGATCGCCTAAGACGAGGGCGGGGCGGGCGTTCTGAAGGACTGCTTGGTGCTGGCTTCTGAAGATCAACTAATTGTGCCTTTCTTCTTGTTTTTTCGTGTTCTGCTTGGAGAAGCCACAAGTGGTGATTGATGGATCTAAAACCCCACCCTTTTGGGCCGAGCTCGCCTCCGCCAGCCAGTTGGGGAGCGGCAGCTCCGTCAGCTTCTGCAAAGGAGGCGCCGTCGTGTCCTGAGGCCAAGGCGGCCAAGGCGGCACTGCGCCCTTCATGAGTGGAATGACCGGGATGACGGATGATTTGGATGATCGGAAGCAAGATGATTGGGAGGATTGGCTGAGAACACGGCCACCTTGTGCGAAGCCCACAATTCTTGCCCCTCCGATCCCTGCAGACACCTCGTTGCAGCTCGCAACATGTCAGAACAGCGAGCGAAATCTTCACTGGAGCTGTAAATACAGTACCCAGCGCGGCGCTTCTTTGCGCCACAAATGACTGGACACTAGGCACAACGCAATCGATCTCGAAGAGGGGACACAATGATTTCGATCCCTGCGTGTCGCCTCCAACGCCGTGGCGGCCGTACAATGTGCGTCAATCTACAGCGGACAGGCCAGAAGCACTGAGGCCCGTTACAGGCTTGTGCAACATGTGCTGCGGCTCACTCCTTTGCTACCAGGCGGCTGTCTGCTGCTGAACAGTGAAAACTCCTAAGAACAATCGGGCGCCTGAATCAACTGCCACAGAAAGCTAGCCCGCCAGATCAACTTGGATTGAATGTGATCAAAAACGCCACCATCTCCTCCTCTTCCACCCTTCTCCTCTTCCACGGCTCACGCCAAGACCCTCTTCGGTCTCATCAGCACCTTCAACATCGATAATCTCGGCCAGCCTGTTCTGGCGTACTGGGCTGCTTGAGTCCAAGAAAGCTTCTAGAGTTCTCTGAATCATCTTGTTTCAGCATTTCTGCACTGCGAAGGGAGTTGGCACTGCACAATCCCAAAATATGGAATCGAATGCAGAATGCATGTCACGGGGAGCTTCAAATGCATCGCGCAGAAATGGGCTATGCCCTTCAGCTGCAGGTCTAGCAAGATACAGTAACGTCTCACAAAACGCATGACTTTGCGGAAAGTAAAGTAGGCTGTTGTCACCTTAGGACGTGGATTCAGGCCCCCAATCAGGACCATGAAAGAAAGGTTCCAGATCTGATATTTCCCCAAACATCTTACACGGCCGTCAAATTACCAGCAGCGAATAAGCGCAACTCAATCTGGGCAGCAATCAATGCATAAACTGGCATAAACCAACTCTTTCAGTCCAAGATTCCCATCAGGCACCTCCGACCAGCTGTTCTTGACAACTGGAAGAACGGCTGGCCCACACGACAGCACGTAGTTTGATCCCTGGTAGGTGAACATCGTCGCACTTCTGGATGTTCCAGCCTTTCTGACAACAAACAGACCAGTGGAAATCGGTGGTTTTGCTGAAGACCTTGACATCCGCTCACGTCAGGTGCCTTCATCTTGGAACTATTCGATCTGACAAGCTGTTTGCTTGCATAGGTTTGGAATTCCTGAGCGCTGGCCATCATTAAAGAAGATCAACACCTCCTTCTGCAATTCCTCCCACGGGATGGTTGGGGTGATTGGAAGTGGGATGACTGGGATGATTGGTAGTGGGATGGCTGGAATGATTATAAAGGGATGATTGAGATGATTGGTAGTGGAATGACTGGGACAATTAGTCACTATCATCTACGAAACCACGAGCCTTTACAACAATGAGCTGACTCAGTTTTGGCTTCTTCCGGGGGCGTTTCTGCATAGGAGGACGTCTGCAGAAAAGGCACTCCATGACACTCTGCTGTCCCACAGATCCTCCTTCCATTGGAGTGTTTGGGAGCTTCGCTATTTCTCAAGCTCGCTATGTCAAGCTCCCCTCAAGAGGCAAGCTGGGGAGTCTTCAAGAGGCAAGCGGTGATTCCCAAGAACCACCGAACCACTACCATGGGCAACGACATGGGAGGCTTTTTGTTCGACAAGCACCTCTCATGCCAAGACATACAAATCCAGCTAAAACATTGAATCGAATCCATCAGATGTACCGAGTGACTGGGACTTCCACCCAGGAACTGTCCTTCAAATCGCACGTCCTCTCGGCTCCCCAACCTCGCCCGCAGGATTCTCGATGGAGATGCCCAAAGCCTTCCGCCTGCGTCCGCCCTTGAGGCGCGAACTCGGGAGACTTCGTACGGAAGGCACCGCTGTTTCGGGAAACTCGTGCGGAAACTGGCCTCGTGTGGCTTTTGGTCATGAAGCATTTGGGTGTGGACGGATGGAAAACACTCAACTGGCCCCCGTTCTTGCTATGAATCCCCACAAGCTGTTAAGCATGGAGTGGCAAGACATGTCTAGTGGTGAAGAGCGGGGATCACCATCCGTTTCGAAGCCGGTCTGTGAGCCAAAGCCGATTGGACCAGCGTCCAGAAGAGGAAGCAGGCTCACTTTTGAGGGGGTGCACGCTGGTCACTCGCTCATTGGTTTCAAGCCCAGCACTATTCGAAGGGCGCTTCTCGGTCCTGTGGGTTTATTCCAGGACTGCTAGGGAGTGGTCTTTGCCAGCACCCTCGAAGAAATAAAGGATCGCCAGGATGACGTAGGTGACAAGCAGCAGGAGACCTCACAGAGAAAAAGCAACGTTGAGGAAAAGATTGTCAACGAGCAAAATGATAGGAACAAAACATGGTTGTGTCCAGTGGTTTGACTTGTAATTCCACAGAAGAATCATGACCAGGAAGTGTTAGCCTGTTGGCCATTGACTTTCTCTTTGAAAGAGACTTCGAGGGTGTCCCACAGCCTTAAGAGTGCTTGTTCTTACGCATAGTGGCATAGTGGTGGACCTGGATCTGAGCACGACAGCCTATCTTTACAGCCTTTTTGGTCTAACAGCATATCAAGGATATTTTTGAAAGAATTGCTTCTGTGAGAAAGAACCTGCAAAGTCGCTAAAAGGTATCCACCGAAGCAAGATAGTCGGATCACCACCCTTGCCCCAGGCATGCAACCTGAACAACATGGCAACCCAACTGGCTGTGCGCCTTCCAGCCAGTTGGAGCTCCCATCATTCAGGATGCCCTCTGTCAAGAAGACAGCGATGAACAGCACGGCGAGCTGAAAAGAATGGAAGTCCAAGGACATGTCCTGAGAGAAGCAGAACCATGAAATACAGCTTTGGGGATACAGTTGGTTATTTATTGATAGTCCTTGTAGCAAACAGCCACCTCTGAGAGGCATTGAGTATTGGATGCAAGTAATTGAGCACCACACCGGTCCGAGGCTTCTGCAATGCCAGTGGGTACGTTTGGTTCAATGGACGGTAGATACAAATACAAACAGAAAAACATGGAAAAATGCCCCTCACTTGAAAATACCAATGAATCGCCTTGCCTACTCCTAGCATCTGTTTGTGGAACGCTGAAGAAGAAGAAGAAGAAGAACAACAACAACAACAAACAACAAACAACAAACAACAAACCAACAAACCAACAAACCAACAAACCAACAAACAACAAACAACAAACAACCAACAACAAACAACAACAAACAACAAACAACCCACAACCGACAACCGACAACCGACAACCAGAACAACAACAGTAACAACATCAACGTCCCTTCCGGTTGACCCCCTCCCTGCCACCAAAAATCACGACCATAGGCCCAACCCACAAGGACAGTGAAGGGGGTCACTAGCAAGGCCATCTGGCACGAGGAGCCCGCAGCCACACCTGCAGATCGCAATGGCAGGAGGGTTTGGGCAGTTCGGTTAGGGCCCGCTGTTTAGTTATATACTCCAAACAAGCATCCGTAGGAGAATCCTGTCATCCCGGTCCTGGATCCCATATTCAACACCTATAATTATCCTCCATATATCTCCATATATACAATTGCACTGCTGAGCTGTGAGTGCCTTGGGGAATCAGTTTCCCCCTTCAGTTTGGATGACGTCGAAAGAGCAGGCCCTCCAAGCTTCTTTAGTATCTCAACAGGGTGCGCTGCCGCTGGATTCGCACGAATCGTGCGATGTTCTCGTTGTTCCCCCGAGGCGTGTGACCGGAGCTCCCGCCCCAGAGCAGCAGGCCGTCCATCGGGTTTTCTCTCATCTGTCCGACCACGTATGCTATACCCATGGTCAAACCAGGTATGCTATACCATAGGTATCATAGGTTTTTGTTTGACCCAGCGAGATAGCCTATGATCTGTCCGACCATCGAAGGCCGCTGATGGCCGTGATCTGATCACATCCACTCACGCGTCGGCCTAAGGCGAGGTCCATCTTGTTCCGCATGGCCACTGTGATGGCCGTGTAGTGCTCGGCCGCGTTGCCGATGATGGGCAGCAGGATGATGCCAATGAACCTGACGTTCAGATGTTCAGGAGAGGCAAACCTCTTCAAGTTCTTTGACCACCCACCAAAACCTTTTGAATGGCCTTGTCCGATACCCGAAAGTGATCACTGATCATGGACCTGCGGTCGTGGGCGGTAGATAAAATCCTTCAAAGCAACTAAGCAGCCTCTGTTGCAGAAGATGAGCAAAGGGCCGAACCCGGCGAACCAGTGTTTGTTCCAAGTTCCAAAATACTCCAAAATACTCCAAAATACCTCATAAATTAAATACCTCTTCCTGAAGTTCGAACCCCCAACCCAGGCCGCACTCTTGTGAGAGGTCGAACTTCTCGACGGTGCCCTCAATCGAATCCTTGCACAGTCGGAACCGGTCGGAACCGGTCGGAACCGCGGTGTCGTTTTCAGCGGCCGGGGCTGGTGGTGTTGCCGAAGCAAACAGAAACATACAGAAACCGGGGAAGAATGGTATGTAGGCCCCGAAAGGTTCTGGGGGTATCGGTTCTGTGAAGAGGTGATATTCGTGACAAGAAATTGTGATTGGATTCGACCATCCACGCTAGGAACCATCTCTGCCGGCTGTTGGAAGCTGTGATATTTTTTTCTGTGTCCAGATCCCGTCCATGTCAGGTTTCACCACGGAGCCGACAGTTTGGGGAAGACCTGGCCTGAAGATTCCATTGGACCACTTCCATCAAACAATTCCAAACACTAACCGGATCTAACTGGGGGATCGGTCTGGATATGTTTGGACCACCCGCCCCACATGTTTTGGGCCCGAACCGCACGCCGGAACTTCGAAACCGTCGCGAACCGCTGCAGGGTGTCGATGAGGAAGTCCGTGGAGTAGGAGGTGAGCACTGTGGCGATGGCCAAGACCACCGCCGCAAAACAAGGAGACAAGTCCGGCTCCTCCTGCAGGTACCAAAAAGGATCCTGGTCTCATTGGTTCAAGATGATGACAGCACCAAAAAAAGTAAAATAGAAAACAAGGGGGCCATCGCTACTTGAGGCCGAGGGTAGGTGACGAAAGCTAGCAGGGGTGCATCCGGACTGGTGGGACATCAAGCGGAGTGAGGCAAATGCTCATGAGGTAAAACGTTGTGAACATGTAAGACACACAAACAGCAATGACACAGCCAACCTTAGAATTGAGGTCCCCGATAATTAAGGAAGCGTGGCTGGACTTTGCCACACTGTTCGATGCATCCGATGTGTTCACGAACCTGTGAGCTTGTTGAATCTGTTGCACCGTATCCCAAAACCTCCACGGAGGAGTTGAACCAGTGTGGATGCCATAAGAGGTGCCCAAGAGGTGTCCCAGAGGCAAAACAAAGCTGCTTGCATGATTTGTTTGGTTTCTTCTATCGATGTCGATGTCATGAACATGTGAGCTTGTTGAATCTGTTGCACCGTATCCCGGAGGAGTTAAGCCAAAGTGGATGCCATAAGAGATGCCCGAGAGGTGTCCCAGATGCGTCCGAGGGGGGAGTTGAACCCATGGGGGGGGGGGGGGGGGCCCCCCGTGCATGTGAAATATTCACATGATGCGGCGATCTTGAGGATTCCAGCCTCTCACTTGCTAAAGCAAGGGCAACTCCAGCTAGCTGGTGCTAGCTTTCGTGATTAGGTTGGAGGCCATCGCTATCAGAGTTTCTGAAGCCGACCGACACCCTCTCTCCTCCTCTTCCTCGCCCGAATCAAAGAGCGCCTGAAGAACAGGTCTCTGAGGAAGAAACGTCCGGGACACGTCGTGACACATCAGAATCTGGAATTCCACCCATGTGATGGTCCATGTGACGCACTTCGGAGCAAGTTAGACATTTAAAACCCAACCACTGCCACCTATTGAGAAAAAAGATATGATTTGTCTGTTTAGTGGGGACAAATCGCAAAGAACTCTCCCAAAACGGAAAGATTGGAAATGAACCAATCTTTGTGGGTGCGGTGGTTTGATCAAACCTATTGACTATGCATGTGCAGGTGATACAATCCCCTACAACTGCAGGAATTGTTCATTGCAGCTCGCACGATCGGTCACACCCGAGATCGGCCTGATGAGTGCCCAGCTGAAAATAGAGGTAGGCGGCATAGGTCATCAAGAGAAAAAGGGAAGCCCAGCGCGACACCTGAGGGTTAAAAGCACGTCGCTTGTGCCATGGATGGTCAAGTGTGGACAACTGGAGCTCCGCAACTGCTTTCTTGTTGTTGATCTTTATCCTTTCGGGGCGCCTCTGGTGCTTTTCTGTTTGTCTGTTTGATGAGCAGGTGGTTGCCCAACGAAGTTCATACCGAAATCGGTGGTCGTCTGTTGCAGTGCTTTGGAACCATTAGAGAACTGCTTTCCAAGATGCCAAAGTGCTGGTGAACACCACATATGAGTATGAGTCCATGCATGCCTTTGAGTCCGAACCTTTGGTGCAAACCTCTGCACCTCCAGCATGTGCTCGAACTCGGCACTCTCTTGGAGGATTTTGGCGTACAGGGTCGGCAGGCCGATGGTGAAGACACTCAAAGCCATCAGGGAACCTCTGAAGTCGGGATCTGCTTGCTGGGATCAGAGCTCCGATTAAAAGAATGAAGAACATGAGATCAATAAAAATGCGAGTTGAGACAGGGAGACCTCCCAATTCGATGCACACCTATGTCAATCGCCAACGGTTGTAGGGTCTTGTCCTTGGAGCAAGGAAGAATGAACGTTACCTGCCTCAGTTAAGGGGAGTGAGAAAGCCAGCTTCCTGTACTAGGGGGTCTGCAGGAGAACAAAGTGCCCCGGAATGACTGCATGCTTCACAAAACAAAAGTTTCGTACAATGAGAGGATTTCACATATATACATATATATATATACAGTACCTGTTTTAGGGTAAAGGAACACCTTAATGCCTGCAAATGCAATAATTCTGAGTTCCAGAAACCAACATAGCAACCACCTCAAAAGGTACAGGCAAGTTCTCATCTTTTCCACTTGAAATACTTGAGCATGGCTGTGTTGCGAACTGAGGGAGGGTACACCCAAAAAAACAACATGCAAAGGTCCAAAATCATCCAAGACAGATTCATAAATATCAAAGCTCAGTCTCAACATGATCATAAGCTTGGAACGTACGGAAAAGTCATATCTACTGATTATCTTAACTTATAAGTGATAGAAACACCCTCTGGCTCTAAGTGTTCCACTTCTATTTATCTTGCCCTTCCATATACAAATGCAGATTCCAAGGAGCACTGTGTGGCAGCCCCCGGCTGCGAGAACTTCTGCACCGGGTACCGTAGGCCGCCCAGGAAGAAAGCGCAGCCCATGACCAGCCTTGAGTGAAGTCGACCCAAGCAGCACCGGTCGATCCAGATCGATCGACCAATGCCCCAGTGATGGTGAATGTCTGCCACCGGTGGGATCATCAAATGAGATCAGATCGAAACATAGAATTATAGAGTCATCAAGCACACCTGCATTACTCCAGTGGGTTCAGACTCAAGGGCATCATGAGGTTCAGAAGGGCCACTCATGAGGTTCATCAAGTCCATGAAATGGAGTGCCTGTGAAAAGAAGAATGCGGGATCTGGGTCGGCATTTCTGTCAATTTGCTGCACGTCTTTATCCTGCGATAGATTAAATCATTTCAGAACAAGTGTTCTCCCACCAAAGTTGATATGTTCATCTCAAACACGCCCTTGGTTGAAGTTTGTGTGACAAACCAGGCTCTGACCAGGAGGTCTTAGACTTAATGCTGGATCGGATCGTGCAACCTGTTCTCATCTGTTCTCTAAGTTGCGCATTGGTCTGAATGGTGCTGTGCCATTGAGATTTAGGCTTGAAACATCTAGAAAGCAAGGCAAAAATGCCAGCCATAACACAGCAGTGTGCGCACACGTTTCCTTGAACATGTCGCTTTAGTGCCATGTTCGTTCTTCAAGTGTGCCCATTGTGTTTCGACCAACATGAGTCGACTTCACACCCGCGTGTGGGTTGACTTCTCTCTGAAACCTTGTGCCCATGCAGTTCACCTACTTGGGGTTGAATGATCTGGACCAAACCTGGCAAAAACAGTGCTCAACGGCACCAGTTTTTCAACGTCCCGCCCGCCCCTGCACGTAAGAAGTGTGCTTTGCTTCTTGTTTAAACAAAATTATCCCGGCAAGAGACCCCAAACAGTGTGTGTGAGGTCTGTCTAGAGATCTAGACGCATTGGGGTCCAGAGAGGTGATGGTGGTGATGAAGTGAAGGTGGGTGTGAGTGAGTGTGGGTGAGAGGGAGCGTGAGTGTGAGTGAGAGTGTGGGTGCGAGCGAGTGAGAGTGCGAGAGTGAGTGAGAGTGTGGGTGAGTGAGTGTGCGTGTGAGTGTGAGTGCGAGTGTGAGTGAGAGTGACTTTGAATGGGAGTGCGTGTGGATGAGAATGACTGTGAGTGAGAATGAGTGAGTGTGAGTGCGAGTGCAAGTGAGAGTGGGGGAGTGAGTGCGAGCGTGAGTGAGAGTGGGAGTGTGAGGGACTGTGAGTGTGAGTGAAAGTGGGAGAGTGAGAATGGGAGAGCCACGAAATCAGCACTTCGAGGTTCACCAAGTGCTGCGCCTGCCACCAAATCAGCACGTCGAGGTTCACCAAGTGCTGCACCTGCCACGAAATCTGCACTTCGAGGTTCACCAAGTGCTGCGCCTGCCACGAAATCTGCACTTGGAGGTGCTGTGCACCTGCTACGAAATCTGCACTTCGAGGTTCACCAAGTGCTGCACCTGCCGCGAAATCTGCACTTCGAGGTTCACCAAGAGATTGCGCCTGCCACGAAATCTGCACTTCGAGGTTCACCAACTGCTGCACCTGCCACGAAATCTGTACTTCGAGGTTCACCAAGTGCTGCGCCTGCCCCGAAATCTGCAAACGAGCCACATGTCCAAAAGTCACGATTCACTGCACCTGTCACGAAATCTGAGCTCCTCAACGATCACCACCATGTCCAAAGTGCTGCACCTGCCATGAAAACTGCATTTCGAAGTAAAACAGCTCCGATCCCTTGCACCTGTCACGAAAAGTCGACTTTGGAGCACCAAAACACGAGGTTTCCCTTGCGCCTGCCACGAAAAGTGACCACCATGTGCGAAATGCGCACGGCACCACAACGAGACGCAGCGGACACGCCCGCGCAGAACAGCGATCCAAGCACACCTGCTTTTCTATTACCGTAAGAACCCCTAGTGTGACCACACTGTTTGAGGAAAAATGCAGCTTTTGGAGAACCCGGTTTGTGAACCTGATTTTTTTGCGGAATAGAGATCAAGCCACCCACTCAGCAACGTCCGAACAGAAATCCCCCAACTAGAAAATACAATCCAGGCGTCTCTAACAAGGGTAGCCGATGCATCGCCCAAGCAAAACACACATGAATCAATTAAAACAAACATGAATGTATATAATTGTGGAAGACTTATGGAAACCAAAAGTCAAAAGTAAATGACTCACACCAGATTACTCTCTCTCTCTCTCTCTCCCTCTCTCGCACACACGCAAATCAAGCAGCAACAAGTTCGACAAGATCGAGCCCAGCAAGGTGCATTGCACCACCACAACCTGGTTCCGCCGGATGCCGCTCACGCAGAGCAACATCTCAACCAAGTTCCCAAAGGAGGCGTTCAGCAAGCCACCCATCGTCTGTCCCACTGCTGTTGACAGGTCCTCCGTCGATTTTCCTGCGGTTCGCCGGGCTTCCGGAGTTCCCGAGAAAAAGGGCTTCTCCAAGAAGCTACTAGAACGCTACTAGGACGCTATGCTCGGTGGAGGCCATCGCAAGTAGGTTGAAGGCCATCGCTACTAGGAGCAAGAGGCTACTAATAGTAGCTCCTGGCATTACTAAGACTACTAGGAACAAGAAGCTACTAGCCTCAAGCCCCCCCAAACCTGGGAACTCCAACGAAACAACTCCCATTTCTAGAAGGAAGCAAAAAACATGTTTGGGCCAGAGGCTCCAATAATCCAGGCCAATGGAATGATAGCCAAGAAGTTGCAGAAAAAGATATATGCCGGCTGCAGCTGCATGGCGTTCGCCACAAAACCCAGCGGCACACAACTGACCAGCATCAGCGAGAGGATGGGGTTGCTCCGGGCGATGTTCACCAAACCTCCAGTGATGGATGGATGGGCGGGCGGGCGGGCGGATGGATGGATGAATGGATGGTTCAAACATGAAACTTCTGCTCCGACCCACTCGCCATCCAACGTCGACTAGTGTCACAACTGAAGCTCTTGGGCATCACGCCAATACACCCCACCCCATCTCCATCTCTCCCATTCCATCCCAGCCCGTCCCATCCCTGTCGCTCCAATACGCGAATACTGCTTCCGGCTTCCGGGTGTTCACTTCGACATGTTCGCACTCAGCATAGCAGAGTTGCCCCAGGCAAATTATGTGCTCTAGTGATATGAGGAATCGCAAGTACAGTGGTTTCAGAGTAAATGTCATAATCCCTAAAAGGTGGTTTGTATGGACTCCCATGTAAAAGACATGTACGAAACATGTATATAACTGGGCCTTGGAGATAACCCGTCCGGAGAAATCGGATGGTGCAGAAGCTGACAACCCTGTGAGTCCCTGTCAGTCCTTGTCAGTCAGTGCACGCACCAGCGTTGGGAAAGACAGTTTGCTGCAAAAAGCAGTACTTGTTGGCCAGCTGTAGCATGCTTTGACCACAAAAGAAGCAACAGAAGAAGGCCGATGTCTTACATACCCTGCGGGGACACTTTGAGAGCAGCCAACAAGTTCCTTTGGACTGAATTTCAAGGGATCCACTGATTCACTTTCGACTCCTAGACAGGTCATGGTTTTCCAGGTGTTGATCAAGAGGCCATGAAGGTTGTTTGGCCCCAGTTCGGCATCCATCTCCTCCGTATGAAGCTTTGCCATCGCCACGCGATGCTTTGATCACAGGCGACACATGGCGCGTCCAACAGCCACAGCTACGTTTCTACAGACAACCATGGAAGGCCTGATCGGAGGGAAGGGTGGAAGGGGCATGGTCGGCTGATGTTTAAGGCTTAAACCGAACAACAGAAGCAAAAGAGGCAAAGGCAAAGAAGATCAATTGGGCAGTAAAACAAGATTCTGTCCGTTGGCTATGTCAATCCTGGAGCAGGATGAAAGCACTGGCTATCAAAGATTTGTCGAAAAAAGTGTTGGCAACAAAGGAACAGCTTGCATGCACGACAGTGACAGCTTCTGCTGAATTTTGAGCCACAAACATGAATCCACTTGCAAAACGGATCATCGGGCTTGAAAGCAACTTCTTAGAGAACAATCAAAAATCCCAAGATTCACAGCAAGCTATCAAAACCACACGTAACGACATCCGGCTTGTCCGATTGGGAGCGGTAAATAAGATGATTCACACCGCCTGTCACGCTGGACGCCCAACCAACCATGACTCCTGGTTCAAAGCATGGACTGGCTCTGCCCAGGTCAAGATAAAAGGTCTTGGTAAAATCATGCAAGTTCCAACCCCAAATGCTTCATCCGCAGTTGAAGGCGCTTTCCGCACCGTTGTCTGCGCACGGTCACTCTTTCCCCTCGCCTTGCGCTGACCCGCTCCACCCCGCCAGCAGCCTCCACCTCGGCACCGGCGGAACACTGTTGTCTCCTCTTCGGTCGCCAACGCAGGCGTTTGGGTCCAAGAAGTGCAACCAACTCGTCACCGCCGAAAGCTGACCATGCGTGGCTTTTCCAACTCAGAGTCAGAAAGAGTTCATTTTCCGATCCTGTGATCTTGTTCTTCCAATCGTTTGAGGAGTTAATGACTTAAATCAGGCATGTGAGATTTGCTATGGCTCAGAAATGTGTTCTACTTGTCGATTCTTGGTGGAGAAGATTTCGTGAATGATCTCTCTATCGATAGATAGGACGGTGACATATCAAAGCAAACTCTGTGAACTGATGACGTGTCGCATGGTTCGACAACAAAGTATATGCTTGGTCCGGTTTCCTTGCCAAGTCCACTGCGTCCAAGTCCTTTCCACGCAGAACGACTTCGGGGTTGACTTCTGTCGACATTCTTCGACCTTCGACTCGACATTGGGCCTTTTGGGGAGCCCCACTGCATCAGGGTCGTAGGGCAAGAAGGCTCGCTTGAACCTAGCGAAGGCAAGGTCAAAGAAAAGGAAACCCCTTGGAGTAAAAACTGTGCAGTCTCTGAAAGTACTTTTGACTTCTGGATGCACGACTGAGTTTGGGTAAATAGAACTAAAACTGCATACTTGCATAAATTGTTCAGAACCCTAACTGAGGATATTCGTCAATCACATGGCGTGCTAGACTAAAATCTAATTTCTTGTCTGGGTGTCTGACGGCCTCGTCATTTGCACCCATTCGCCCTTTTCCCCGGATCTCTCCACCCCGTCTCGCTGCGCCAGGTCACGGTCGCCGTTTCAAAAAACGCCAGTCCTGGAGGCAGCGGAACGACTGTCTCGGCCGGTCGAGGGGCGGAACCGGTGAGGTCCTTACTGTTGAGGGCCCCATTCAAAAGTTCAAGATCAGGGGATCCCAACATCATCTGCTCTGGCTTCCCAAGGCCCAGGAATTTGGGCGACCCCTTATGGGGAAACTCCACCTCTGTTCCAAGGCACTGACTCCAACACCTGACAACAACCCCTGCCGTGGGTGTTTCACTCCCTCTGCGTGTCGACAAAAAAGACACTCCCAAAACAAGGCAACGCCGCCGTTAGCGGCTGTGGGTGTTGCACACGCTGAATTTTGCACACGCGGGTCAACGGAAGAGTTCAGGGACTGCTTCCCAAAGGTTCTGACAGCCCACAGGCGAAAACCCAGTTGTGCATCTCTGGATTCACTAGACGACTCTTGACATCTTTTGTGGCCAGTTCTTTTGGTAGTAAGAATTGTTTGAGTCGTCTCCACAATGGCAGACGAACGAACGAGGTGCGACGTGAACTGTGAACGAAGCGCGACGACAACGGAGAAACCATCCGAGCCTGACTGGAACCCCACAAACCACCCCTAAAAGCCCACTTGAACCGAACCTCAAAAAATGACAAAAGGTAGCAAAATCCCCACAGCCAACGGCGTTGCCCAGGCCCAAGCATGGAACATTGGCCCGTTGGATGAGCATGCTCTACAGATGGGGCTTTTTCCAAGCGAAACTCGCACGTCGTCGAGGACATCGGCCGAGACATCGGTCCACGTCGTCGACCTCGACCTGGAGAGCCCCCCCGTGGGGTCTTGCTTCGGAGAGGGGAGGAGGCCGGAGGTCGACCAATGGCGACCCCAGGATCCGACTTTCAGATGAACTTGGGGGTCTTTGGGGGGTCTTTCAGGTGTCTTGGGCGAGTGCAATTGCACTTGCTTCTGGAGCATCAAGTCCTGATTCCTTGGCCAAGTGAGAGGCCATACATGCACTTGCAGAACATCCGTTGAAGTCCACCGAATGGAGATGATGCCGGCAGAACTCAAACGCCAAACCCCTGCGGTCAATGGCCGAGGAAAACAAATGGTCACTTGTGGAGCTCTTGAAGAGACCAGGAGCACAACAACCGGACCAGGCTGAGGGGGTGGTCGATTTCCAAAGCAAAAACACCAGGATGAGCGATGATGGTGGGGCTGGGACCTCTGGCCTATAGGTGTCCGCCAATCATCTTGACACCCCAAAACTACAACAAGGGAACACTCCTTTGGACAAGGGAGATGAATTATTTGTTCATGTTCGTGGGCCATCGCACGCCCAAAATCACATGCCCAACAGGCCCAGCCTGCCGCTTCATCTTGACAGGAGCGCACAAGAGAGCAGTGGAAGCATTGCTATGTGTTGCTTCAGCGGAGTTTGTGGTTGAGACCAGTACCGAAGAACAAAATGACTGCTTCAATGATTCATGTCCTACCTGCCTTGGGACAGTTGTGCAAAAAAGAAAAATAGAAAGCTTTCAGGGTGTCAAATGCTGAAACGTACTTAAGCCTTTTCCATGTATCTCCCTCCTTGGCACATAACATTTCTTACACCACTGGAGGGGGCTCAGAAACAGGGGGCGTCAAACCTAGGACTAGGATACAGGATACAGTATATAGGATGATGCATTCTTGGTCTTAAATCTGAGTCTAGCTCTGCGCACTGTTGTGATTACCACATGTTGAAAGGCTCATCACATCCGACCGAACGGCTTTGGCGAGCATGTTTTTTGACGATTTGTGGAGGCAGCGAAGATCTGTCATTGTCTGAGTGGTTTGACACTGGTGCAGCTCCAATTGGTGCGCATGACTTGACCCCCAGTGTTGTCACCGGTCTAAGTCTAACGTGAGCTTCACCCATATGGCCGACGAGATTCGCGAAGCGCGGTCAAACGGTGGATGGACGACATTTCTGAGTGAGGTCGCCCCATAGAACCCGAATTCGCATTCAGCTCCTGTCTTGTTTTGCTCTTTCTGGAGGCTACGTCAAGCTTGAAAGCTCCTGTATCGAGGGCCACGAAGTAATTTGCTAGCAACCTCCAAAAAGCCTTCCTCTGAAGTTTCACTCCAAGTTCTCTGCGTTTTCTCTCATGAAGTCCAACAGTGTGTGGATGTTGGATTCGTGATTCATTGTGCTTTTCACAAAAAGAAAGAACAGGTCTGACAGGGCAGGTTTCTGACAGGACTCCTTCCAGGGTCAATGTCACCCAAAGAAATACCAGTAAATGTTCCACCCAAAGATGATCTCGAGGGTCACATCTGAAATGTGCGAGTAGATAACCTTGAAGCGCGCACTCCCGCTCAGACCGTCGCTCCTTTGCCGATCCACAGACCCGCAACCGTCCATCCCAATCCAGCCAGCCCCCTGCCCCCCCTGCCAACGCAAGAGACAAACGTGCCGGCCAGCGCCCTGCCAGGATGAGAATCTCCAGGGCAAAGCTCTGGGCCAAGCCCTTTCGCGCGCCAAGCTTTGGGGGTGGTGGCGGTGTCCCCTCCCCCTCAAGATCGTGCGAGTCGGACCCAAGCTCACCCTCGTGGACCCCATGCAACAAGGGGCTTGGGTGGAAACCCCAACTCCAAAAAGAACCGCCCAAACGACTGGTTCCACCGGAGAAAACGGCCCTCAAAGGGGTGA